CTACCTACTGTATTTCTCTCTCTCTCCCTCTGTCTACCTACCTACCTACTCTTTCTCTCCCTACCTACCTACTGTATTTCTCTCTCTCTCTATCCTTCTACCTACCTACCAACTCTCTCTCTACCTACTATATTTATCTCTCTCTATCCCTCTACCTACCTACCTACCTACCTACCTACCTACCTACCTACCTACCTATCTACCTACTGTATTTCTCTCTCTCTCCCTCTGTCTACCTACCTACCTACTCTTTCTCTCCCTACCTACCTACTGTATTTCTCTCTCTCTCTATCCTTCTACCTACCTACCAACTCTCTCTCTACCTACTATATTTATCTCTCTCTATCCCTCTACCTACCTACCTACCTACCTACCTACCTACCTATCTACCTACTGTATTTCTCTCTCTCTCCCTCTCTCTCCATCTACCTACCTACTTTTTTTCTTAATTTGCCTCTTCAAAACCTTGGTGCGTCTTATACTCCAAAAATATGGTACTTATGTGTATAACCAGTAATTATCCAATTTAGCTATTTTTCCAATCTGCTAACTGAAGACCTCTGGATAATGCAGATCTCTTTATTTAACCCTACACTCTTTGGTCTCCCTTGAATTAGAAACCAGTGGCAGCTCATAATTGGTAGTGATTTTTCCAAAAATATATAAATGAAATATAATAGGAAATAACTCCTATACCACCAAGCAGAATAATCTCAAGACATCAGATTTCCAAGAGATGCATAGACAGCTATTACAAACTACAGTGACATCAAAATCATGAGATTATTATATAAAAATACATTATCTTTATCAATCATGTCCCAATATGCGGTGCAAATACCTGGTGACATCATGTCACCATTTTCCTGCTTTATACTCTCATCTATGTAAAGAAATTTAAATATTAGTCAACTTCAATGAGTAAACCCAATTAATCCCTTTCTTGGGCAACATTCAATCTACTTCTAAGTATGTATCTGTTTCTTCATCCAACTCTGATAGATCAAGGACATAATTTGGGGGCATTATGCTTGTGTTCAGCCATAATCGTTAAACTGTGAAACCTATATCAATCATGTCTATAGGTAGTCCTTGACTTACGACCACAACTGGAACTAGCAAGATGGTTGTTAAGTGAGTTGTTCCCAATTTTACCACTTTTTGCCATGGTTGTTAAGCGAATCACATGGTCATTAAGTGAACCCAATTCCCCGAATTGACTATGTTGTCAAAAGCTGGCTGGAAAGCTCGTAAATGATGATCCCATGACAATACAACTGGACAATGTGACTGTCATAAATACATGCTTGGTGGCCAAGGACCCAAGTTGTGATCAACCCCCAAAGGCAGCAGTTACAGTACATCAAGAAAACGAAGTGTTGATCAATATAGGGCATTTTTTCAGCGCCGCACACACACACAAATACACACAAACACACACACACACACACACACACACACACACACAGGATTTCGGAAGAGGGTGGAATACAAACCCGAGGTGCAGTAGGCTTTTTTATTTCCTTCGTTTTAGCTCTACAAGAGCAAGGAATGTAGAGAACTATCATTAATAGCGTTTTTCACTCTCAGTAAGAGTACTAAGAGACCTACCGGCTCTGAATGCCGTCGCTGGTCTGGGAGGCAAAGGACACGAATTGTTCCAACCCCTCCTTTTCAGGCACGGGAGGGCGGAGGCTGAACGTCGTGAAGAAACCTCAAACTCATCCCTGCATCCAGCTAGTAATTCTCACCCTCCATTCCAGTTCGGGGAAGCCAGTTCCGCTGAGAGGAGAAAAGGGAGCTTTTTTAGCTCTTTTGACCGAGGCAGCCGTAAAGTAGGGATCCTCTTCTTACTAGGATACTTTAGATGCACGCAACCTGCTCGCAATGGCCCTCTCCCTTAGGACGCCCGCCCGCTCCCCGGTGGCCTACCGAGACGCTGCAAACTCGGATCGAGCGATTCTTTGCACCTCTCGGCCCAGCGAGGTCAGCGGCGTAGACAAAGTACAGAGGGTGGAGGCAATGGTCCCGAAGGGCGTGGTTTCGATGGAAAGCACAAAGCTTTGTTTTGCAAGGGGAGTAGAAGATCGCCGATAGAAGCTAGGTTTCCTCCGAGTAGATTTTCTCCCAGGGATCCCTTTAGAAGTGATTTTGATCATGGACTTCTCGGTAAGCCCATGAACTACTAGACTGCTGCTGCCCACGAGGTTGTGTTACTGGAGCCCGTTTCAATCATAGGGAGGCCAAATGCTAGGAATAAAAGGGGTTCTGTGTTTGAACTGCTCCTCCCCACAATACACACATCCAAATCCTGCTATGCTGCTTCACCGGGCTGGTGGTGGGAGTTTCCCGAGTCTATGCGAAGACAGTATATGTCCCATGAAGTCACCCAAGGGATGAAGGTCATCTCCAGCTGCCCACTTGCATCGGGCAGTCGTATGAAAAGGAGCTGGAGGCAGGTGGTTACAATGGCAAAATCTCACACTTTGCAGAAGCAGTGAGTTCTACCCAAAACTAATATGGACAATATGAAGTGACTGAAGAAGAGCTGAAGAACTTTTGGAGCATTGTGGTAATGAGGCTAATGGCATGAAGAGATTAAAACCCTGAGGATGTCTGCTTGTTGATGTTGCCATACATTAAAAGACCATCAAAGCTGTAAAGGCAAAATTACAATGAGAACATGGGAAAGCTCAATACAGTGAATAAAAGGAATTGATTACACATTGAATCTTAAGCATCAATAAACTGAAATGGTCTGGAATCAAGTAGTTTCAATTAAGAGGATAGTTTTACTATTCAGGACGTGAAAAACAAAGGAATGTCATTGCTTTCATAGTCAAGGCAGTTAATGGCCAAATAATACTAATTAACCTTTAATATGAAGGTTATCCTAGTTTATGATGGAAAGGAATGTAATGAATTTTGCGAGTTCAGATGTACTGCTTGTGGATAGAAGCTAGTATGCCAAGATTGAAAATATTGAGGAAAATATCTGGTCTAAGAAACAAATGATACAGGAAAATTTACCAATTTACGTCAATCTAATTATTTCAGTGTTAATACAATCTTCAAAAAAACCAGACACCTATACAAAAGGAATGCCACCAGATAGATAAAGAAATCAAATTATCTGCTGATACACTCATCCACTTTGACATCAATAGTGGCAAGAGCTACTGGTAGAACCCACCCTTCTGAAGTTATTGGGCAGTTTGGCAAAGGCAAATTGGCAGTGGTTGGAAATCTTTTCTACTTCCAGATGATCTTCCAGGAAGTGCAATTATTGACATCCAATTGTTTTGCAAATATTTAAAATTCATTCTGCTTCATTTGCATATATAACCTCTCTGAAAGCCTGTTTTGAGTTGGCATGGTTGGAAACCTCACTTCAACAGCAAAGAGCAAATAAAACTAAATGGAAATGGACTAGAAATGTAGAGAGGGTGTGTTAAATGTTCCCTTTATAAATATTGTTGATATAAAGAGCAAATACTTGCTGAAATATATTTAAAGTAAAACACTGTACTTACTTTTTTACATAAGCATGTTTTGTTAAATGCCTGGACTTGTTTCATTTTGATAAATCTCAAATAATTGTCAATGTGTAAACTATTTGGGGCCATAAACATCTGTTCATTTTAAAGTACTCTTGAACCAAACTTCCAAACTATATTGTAGTTGAATAGTATGAAAGAAGATTGTCATTGCCACCTCCATGGATTTCAGCTGACAAATTGTTATTCCTAATATCCTTAATAGGCACTCAAATGTTTAGATAAAATCATTATTAGCATGCCACTCCCAGCCACTGATCAAATCTTTCAGAACAGCATTTATAAAACAGGCAATTTTATTTCCCCAAATTTCTCAAGAATTGTTAGTTTTATTTCAATCTCTTTGTCTACCCAAACATGTAATAAACATACATATATACACCAACATACATATAATACATATGTATATTATATAATATACACATATATACACACCAAGAGAATGTGACATTCAGACAAGTTTTGAAAAAAGGTAAATTTAAAAAGTTTACATCAGCAGTAAAAGTGAATTAACATTCAACACACATTGAAAATTATCAAAAAGGTTAGTGAGTATTGCCAATATTTTTAAAGGTTATCTTCAGATCTATAAATTAGACACAATGTTCTTGTATTCCTTACCCACAAAGTTCAACTTCATTAAACACTATCATCTCATCATACAATTACCGTATAAGAGTATATATAAGATGCACCAAAATTTTAAAGAGGCAAATTAAAAAAAAGGTAGGTAGGTAGAGGGCTAGAGAGATACAAAGAGATAGAGAAAAAATGCTGTAGTCAGTGTAGAATAGGCACCTAGATTTTGAGCCTTTTTGAGAAAAAAAGGTGCATCTTATACTTTGAAAAATACGGTAGTTTAGTGTCATTAATGGTAAGACTGTTATACATTTATCTCTTTTACATGTTAAAGCATAGCAATCCTTCCCATATTAGATGTTTTGTTTATTTAGTACAGTAAAGCTAAATAAAAAGTTAGCTAAACTATGGGTATTTAACACCTGCACTGAGTTAACCAGCTTAAATGAAAAACATATGCTTTCATTCTCTGTTTTGCTCCTGTTGACTGATAGTTGCAGTGTTAACAGTTTGCAGTGCATTGTTTGGTCTGTAGATGAAACCTGTGCCTTCATCTCCGAATTCTCCAAGCTGTTCAAGCGAAGACACACAAGGACTATGTTCTTTCAGCATACTTGGTAATCTATTTCCTTTTTCCTGAATGCGACAGGACCGTCTCACAGGTGTTAGGAATTTCAGATTTTTAATTGTAGAATCACCACACTGCAGCCTTTTTTTTGTGCTTGGGGTCAAAAAGAGAAACAATTTATGTATTTACAGGATTAAAATGCAATAATTCAATGTGGTTTGGCAACAGAACAACTGTAGTAAGTGAATAACAGTAATTCAAATATTAATTTGGCTTGAATAGTATTAAAAATATATCGCTCCTCTATGGATAATGCATATACTTCTTATTTTGCCATGTATGATTTATGAAGATAAAACCATGCCAGTTTAAAAGACTGATAATTTTGACTGCCAAAGCTGTTTAGAGAATATTTCAGGAGTTGGTTTTTGGGCCAAAGTTGCAAGTCTTAGTCACTATTGCGATATACCTTTTTGAAATTCCAAATATGCTATATCAGTACTAAATACAATACTACCACTGTTACTATTTAAAATATTTATACATGGCTTCTAGACATCTAGTAGCAAGAGAGATTATTTTTCCCGACAATGTACTCTATTGTCCAGCAAGCCTAAAGGGAAGAAATTGAGACACTGGTAGAAATCTTTTTAAAAAGTATATCATGTTAAAATCAAATAAATTATTCCCCAGGAAATATGTACAATTGTCTTTTTTCCAAGCTCTCCAGATGAATTAGACCCAGTGGCTTTCCTGGCTAAAATTGGTTGTCCTATTGATCTTAAAAGAATTTAAGGAGTCCCAGGTAGAGTTTATAGGGTGCCATAGAAGTGGGGGGAGAGCCATGAACAAGTTAGGTAAGGGATTGCTGCAGTGTGATGCAAACTCAGGAAGGCCAGGGAAAGATGTGTGGTTTGTGAGCAAAGGGGAGGAGGAAGGCAGGCTGTGTGAAAGCAAAACTATAGCTGGAGATGGAGGAGATTTGCCTGAATGACTTGCAACCCTCCCTGCTGGCTTTCCCATTGGCTTTGCTTGTGGGAAATCAACTGGGATGGTTAAAAATGGTAATCATGACTGTAGAACATGAAGCTAATGATAAGTGAACCAGTTGCCATGTGCTTGGAATTTGATAAATTTGTGCTTGAAATTTGCTTGGAATTTGTACACATGAATGCTTGTTCAGCACCATGGTAAATTCAATCAGTTGAACAAATACTTGTAACCGTAGTGGGTTGCTAACCGGTTTACTACTGGTTCGCTTGTGCGCGCATGCACAGAAGCGTCTGGGCGGAGCCTCCCACTGCTGCCACTACCGGTTTGGTCGAACCGGGTTGAACTGGCTGCAGTCCACTTCTGCTTGTAACTCAAGGACTACATACAGTGGTATTTTAGTTTAAAACACAGTACTACTTTTGAAGATAGGCTATAATTGAGAGCCTGATTCCAATAGGTAAATCTCAACAAGGGATTTTACCTGCCAATTTTCACTAATCAGCAATATAATGCAAGGGGTCGCCAACCCTCAGGCCACGGACTGGTACTGATCAATAGCCTATTAGGAACTGGGCTGCACAGGCAAGCAAAGCTTCATCTGCGCATGAGCAGGATCTAGGTAGTGCACAAAACAATTCTCCTTCCCCAAGTCCATGGAAAAACTGTTTTCCCTGAAATCAATCCCTGGTACAAAAAAGGTTGGCAACCAGCTCTAGAATGATTTCCAGCTATTCACTTTCTTCTCAATCATAACCTTGAAACTGGAGATTCCCCCCCCCCCCCAAACAAACTCAAATTGGTCAGGTTCACTTTTCCTACCCAAATTGAGCATGATACCATCCTTTTAAGATTAAGGACAGCAACTCCACATCCTCAGACCCCCACATAGACAAAATCATATTAAGACTCACCTTTCTAAGTGGGAAGTTGTTGACAAATTATATTTTATTAAATATGAGCTTTTTTCATTTTCAGGAGTCTTAATCTCTAGGATTCTATCATTCTCAGCATTGGTAGCAGTTTCTTCATTTTTTAAGTCTTTCTGCATTTGTTCTTTACTTTTGTTCTTTTTTTCCTTACAACATTCTTCTTTGATTTTTGAGCAAATTTCTGTTGATTCTTGAAAAGCTTCATTACTATGCTCTACCTCGTTATTCAAACCGACTTCCTTGAAAGCCTCTTCAATCTCTTTTTCAGCTGGTCCCACAGGATTTTCTGTGTTTTCTTCCTTCACACATTCTGAAAAAATATATTCTGTCATGGTATAAGGCAACTCAATATTTAAAACTCTTAAAAAGAAATTCAAAGGGTACTAAAAATGGAGGCAAATAAAAATATCTATGTTGATTATAACAAGTAAAATGCAGAGTGAAGCATCACTCTGCATCATATAGGGTCATGTTTACCAAAACAAAATTGAAGATTTGAGAAACTAGTCAATAATATTAAATCTTACCATCAGTTTTTGGCAGATCTAGTCTAGCCTTTATAACGTCCGCAAATGTATGACGCAGCTCATCCTTAGGCTGAAAAACCAATTATTAATTTCCAGTTAGCTTAGCTAATTGTTTTGGAAAATTTATTACTGCCCAGCTCAGTAACTGTGACTATAGGTGACTTACAAAAGTAAAACCCTAAATACAAAGCCCAGTATCCCTTACCCCACACCAGGGATCTGCAACCTTAAACATTCAAAGAGTCATTTGGACCTGTTTCCCACAGAAAATACCAGGAGCCACAAAACCTGGTGGGCATGGCCAACTTGAAACTGACTCCCACCCAGTCATATGACCCCTTAGCCACAGCGACTCAGCTGGTCATTAGGACAGAGAACCTATACCGGGAACCATAAAACCCTTTTGACATCAGCCCCAGCCGCTTCTCCATCCCCCGCCGTCGCCCTTACTTCTCAGGCCAGGCAAGCAGTGACTGAGAGGGGAGGGCGAGAACAGCCAGTGGTGGCATTACGCAACAGAGAGCCACAGCAGAGGACCCAAGAGCCGAATGCAGTTCCGGAGCTGCGGGTTGCTGAAACCTGCCCCACACACATATGACAACAAACAAACCACTTGCTCTTTATCACCCTAAGGTCCTCAGGCTGCTGGCAAAACCATGCCTTGTAATTACTCACAATGTTATGAAAGATCAAATAAAACTGGAGATCCAGGTTCAAATTTCCTCAGATATTTATTTTATTAATCAGATTTATATGGCAGCCCACCACACAGAGGGTGATACTGGACACTGTAAAATAATACACTTAGTGTAATCTTAGACTGGTCACTCCCACATAAAATTGTTGTAACAGAAGAGAATTGGACAACTCACTGTACCAGTGATGGCTAACCTTTTTGCCATCACGTGCCAAAAGTGGGGGGAAGGACAGGGGAGATTGTGCACGGGCATGCCCACCCATAATTCTATGCACATGACTCCCCTGTGCATGCATGCACAACACCCCCTGCACATGCGTGTGTGACCCCCCGCCCTCACCCCTGCTTTTGGCATGGGATGGCACAGTGGACCCATTTTTCACCCTCCCCAGGCTCCAGAGGCTTTCTAGGAGCCGGGGGAGGCAAAAATAGCCTCCCCCCCCCCCCCAGCCATACAGGCAAACTGGAAGTTCAGGAACGGACTTCCGGTTTGCACGATGGGCTGCTTTTCGCCCTCTGGAGGATGAAAAATGGCCGAAAATGAAGTCGCACTGGAGCTGACAGGGCAATGCCTCGGGTGCCCTAACAAATGGCTATGCATTCCACCTATGGTTCGCCATCACAGAACTATACCAACCTGATCTCTTTAAATAAATGGTAGAACATTTTTAACATTTTAAAAATTGTAACTTAAAAAACTTTTTAAACTAAATAGTTAAACTATTAGAAAATGTATAAATATATACATCTCTCATTGGCCAAGCAACTGAAAACAAAATTAAATTTAGTGAAACTTTTAAGGGTGTTTACCTGCGCTCCTGCAAGAATTGCGTTTTCATAAATAGTTATTACTTTTTCTGTGGAGCGAAACTGTTCAAGACGCATCTGACACACCCAATACTTCGCAAACTTTTTTGCTTCTGGTATTTTCACTATCAGGTTTTCCAAAATGGAATATACTGTTTCACCTACAAAGCCCTGAAGAGAAATAGCAAGGAGAAAAGTATACCAAATGTCTTTAAACTGTATGAATTCTAGAGAAATGTTACATTAATATGTTGCATAAGCACAGATTGCAGTTGACTAACAACCAATTTGAAAAAAAGTGATGACCTATTCTCCAAGTTAGGCCATCTCATCATCCCCACTCATGTGATAGCAATTCAGTTGCTTAGTAACAGGTGTGCATTTGTCTGCAGTATCTTGCGGTCATATGATCCCAATTTGTTATTTTTCCAGGCTATCTCTGACAAAGTCGATTGGGAAATTACTTGGTCACTTAATGACCAAGTGATTCACTTAACTGTGTGGTTCGCATGACTGCTATAAAAATTATCATAAAATTGGCTCTGGTCATATAACTCACTTTACAAGTGCACCACCATATATCAGAAATGCTAGTCTCAATTGTGGTTTTAAGCCAAGGACTACCTATAATGCATAAACTTCTGTGAATTAGTTTATATTTTATAATCCGGAGAAGAATGACTAACCTTTCATTTAACACAAAACTTCACAAAGAATCTTTTGTATTGTAGTAATAAACATCTCTGTTATTCCATACTGGGAAGGAACAGCTTAAAAATGAAAGCGAGACAGAATCATAAGGCTTTCATTTTTTATTTCTAACAAATGGTTGCCAACGGGGCAGCTAACAGTGCCTGTTCAGCTGACAGCAACAGCTGACGCTGTCTGACAGCTCCTTTTATACTCAGCTGTCAGACAGGTGGCCAGCCCTTTAGGAAGCGGACCAGAGAGGAGACTTCGAACACAGCATTCTTTTTTCCCTATTCAGGACAGATCCGATTGTTAGTTACAATAGAAAATGACATATAAGATTTTGTCATGATGTAGCCTACCAACTCTCTTCACATCAATCCATTATAAGACCAGCTGTTTTGAAAGTCCAGTATGCCTAGTACCTTCAGAATTTATAGTACTGAATAAAGTACAAAAATGTTATAAAAATTAATTCAGCACTATGGTAGTTTATTTGAACATACCTTTTCAATGAGATTCAAACATTCTGCAAGTGTCTTGTTGATCTTATCACTAAGCAGATTTTGTTCATCTTCTTCAGCGAGGCTAGCCCAAAAGCATTCAGCTGGTTCTTTTATAGTTTGCTGACTTGTTGTTTTAGGCTGGCTTTTTGCAGGTATGGTGTTATGTGCCTTCTTTATCCCTTTTGAAGCCTGCCATTCAGCTAGCTGAACTCTAAAAGATAAACATTTGAGTTGATTAGTACAGCATTTTGCTTTTTAGCTAGAAATAGTCATGTAACAGCTACCCAGTTATCTAGCCACAGTTGAATGAGAATGTCCGTTAATTCACAGATCCTCATATCTCTCTCAAAGAACATTTACATTACAATAGATAAAAATCAACTATTAAGCAGTCAATATTCAAAATTGCAATTACAAGTCATGATTGTCAGAAAAATAAGGCAAAGATAGTTGCTGTTTTGCAGCTATCAGAGCTAAACTGAAAAACTCACAGCTGCCTGTATTTTTGTGCCATCCAGCGGTCAACTGGCAATTGCAATTCAGATCCGATGGCCTATCAAAACAAAACACTACTTCCAGTGAAAGCACAGAAATAAGCCTGTAAACCTAAATGGCGTCTAAGATTTCGCATGTATAATTATGTTTGATCACAATTATCAGGTACATACACTTGAGCATAAGTATAATTTATCAGAGTGGAGGAAGCACACAATTAAGCATTTATCTTCTGTAATAAGATGTGAAAGCATCCTATTTTCAAAACTCAGTATGTGGAATTGCTTTAAACTGTTGACTATTCAAGGCCAATTTAAGACAAAGTGAATAAAACATTCGAGTCATAAATATGAATATGTGATGGTGAGACTGCAAAGGTTTATTTTCCCTTGTACAATCTGCGTTTTCATAATACGTTTAGACTTAAAGCAGTTTGCTCAATTTTGGTGTACCATGTTGATCAAACCCAGCTAAATGAGATTTATTCCATAAAAAACTAGCAAGCAAGATATAGCTTGATATATTATATAGTCTGAAAAATTCCAACTTTTTTTTGATGTTGCATTGTCCCAACACATTTTGATATTAAAAATGTAGGCATTTACATTACCTTCTCATATCTAGAGATGACTGAGCTTTTGATTTTGAAGCTGACATAGCTTCGGGAAGTGGCACTTTTAGGCTTCCACTAACAGTTTTAGATGAAGCAAGTTTCTTTGTCCTCGGGACAGGATCATTAGCATTGATTGGAACAGTCTTTAATAGTGATTTCCGATTGCTGAAACAGTTCTTTTGGGTTGTCCCAGTATTCTCTGGGCCACCACTAATAGATTGTTTCTCTTGATTCAGAATAGTTTTGGGATGATAAACAGAAACTCTCACAGTACTGGTCTGAAAAGGGGTGGAATTTAGGACCTTAGGAGCACAAGCATTGCCAGTGACTTTAGCATCCCTTATGGTTGTATTATTTGTGGCTGATTTTACACTTGATTTAGGCAGAGCAGGAAAATTTCTAGGCTCATTTGCTGGAACTTTTCTGAAGGAATTTACCTTAGAAGAAACTATTTTGCCACGATATGAGCCAAGTATACGTTTATCTGAGATGCATGGAACAGAATCGGAGACATCTGCTTTTATCTGTTTCTTTCCATTTGCTTTCTGTAGAAAGGTCTGAGTAAATGACACAACCTTGGATTTTACTGCTACAGATTCAGTATCTGCTAGTGTTGTTTTGTTTGGAGAATTACTATTTGTATCTGTTTTAATTTGTTTCAATACATGGGAATCTAAGTTTTTAGGGGAAACAAAAGTGTTTTCAAGTATACTGTCTCCTTCGTTCCATATCCTGGGAGATATGCTGGCATTTTCTTTGTCTTCCTGAAAAAAAAAATAACATAGCATCAACTAAAGACAAACATTTTGTTCTAAAATACTCTTTAGAGTGGTGTGAGGTACATGGCATCTTGACATACATATACTTCTTGTAGTATTTTTCACTTTTCATCAATTATAACATATTAGAAAGCTATCACATCAGGAAAAGCTAGTCACAATAGTAATTTCATTTTTTTTTTGCTTATCTTTTAAAAGTAGTGCTTGACTTATTATCACAATTGGCCCAAAATTTATGTTGTTAAGTGAAACATTCAAGTGAATTAACAACCTTTCTTGCCACAGTTGTTAAGTGAATCACTGCAGTTGTTAATACTAAATGAATCTGGCTTCCCCCATTGTTTTTGCTTGTCAGAAGGTTGCAAAAGGTGGTCCAGTGACCCCAGAACATTACAATAGTCGCCAACTGTGAAAAACGGTCATAAGTCGCTTTTTTCAATGCCATTGAACTTCAAACGGTCACTAAAGGAACTGCTATAAGTCAAAGACTAGGTCTATATACATTGCATATCCAGAGTTTTAAAAACTTTAATGTACAAGAACCCTGCCTGGCTTATACAAAATCCTTCCTTACATTTCATATATATATATAGATAGATAGATAGATCTATACTAGTCTCCCTTTATTTTATTTATCAGCACAAATATAACATATATATATAAATATAACATATATGTATGTATGTATGTATGTATGTATGTATAGCAGTTTTTTTAAAGGCAGACATTCCCATATCCCATCTCCTCATTATAATATAAATCTGACTTCAGCTCCAGTCTAAAATATCAGTGAATATCTTTTATGACTTACCATTTTTGCTGTTGACAAGAATTCAGTTTTTGAACTTTCCTGGATTTTCTAAAAAGAAAAAACAAAACCATTTGCAACTTTTAATATAAAGCCTCACTTACAGAATAAAAAAGCTTTTAAACATAGCAATTCCATACATATTGTTTTCTGGGTTTTTTTCTGAAAAGGCTGCAAAATATGCAAGAAACGGTTCAACCAGAATAAACCCACTCAAGTTGCACTACCCGATGTCACATGCTGTTTTGTACTTGAATGAAAGACTGATGCCTGTCTTCAGAAAACTTAAATCATAACCAACCAAGCCCCAAACACTGCCACCCCACCCCCCAAAAGAAAGAGCTCCTTTTCCCGGCTTTACTTGTTCAGTTAGAATCGAGGACTGTTCCATCCAACAAAGTAGAAAACTTATCCTTCCACTAAGTCCAAATTAAACTTGCTTTTACTCAGGTTTTCTTAACAGCTGCACCCGCATCCTACCCCACCTTACGGCGCTTACCCAATCCGCTTGCCTTTGCAAAGGAAAGATTCACCCGCAGAAGCGACACAACCGACTCACAAATGTCCCACCCGGCCGTTTGAATTTAATCTCGCGCCTGGCCTTCACGTGGGCGACACGGCCCCTGCCGATTGGTGCAGACGGGGGCTTGAAATTAGCCAACCAGGGAACAAGATGTCATTCGGCTCACTCCAGCGCTCAGCAGCCTGTGTGGTTCTTTTGAAAAATGCATGCCGGCTTATTACCATTCACACCTCCACCCCCAACCGTCCACATTGGCTCTTTTATGCATACAAAGTTTTGCGTTTGCCTAGACCTAATCCTACCTCTCCTTTTTTCTTCTGTAATTTGTGAGTTCCTTTTTTTGGAACGAATGCATGCTGTAACTCTTTGCAATTCGTTTTTCGTCTTTTCGTTTTGGGAGAAAGGAAGGAAAATTGGAGTGTTTGGAAAAAATTGGGGGGGGGGGTTGGAATTGTTTCACCAGCTTGGAAGGAATTGCTTCCTTTATATGTACAGATTTACAATCCCATTAAAACTTCGTGGCTTTTACTTTTAAACATGTGTAGGAAGTTATCACCCAGCCCTCTCCCAGAAAAATGAAATATCCTAGGAAATATTGAAAAGGCAGAGTATTTCTCTGGATGTGAAAAGTAGAAACATGTAGAACACCCAGGACCCCACAATTATCTTCATCATCTTCATCCTCCGCCTCCTCCACCCTGCAAACCCCTCACTCTTCTAGCACTGATGACGTTCCCTAGTTGGGTCATGAAACGCCTGCAAGAAAACCACCAAGTTCGGAGAGACCTTATTTCTTGACCTACAAACAGTCCCTTCTATTGTTGTTGTTTTTTTTTAAAGAAACTGCCAGCCAGGAAGACTCTCATTGTCACGAAGCCTTTTACAAAACTCGGTTTGTGGAGCCCAACATCTGATTCAGAGCGACCCCCGTCTTACAAAGACCCCCCTCAACAGCTTTGCACAAAGCTTTGCTTTTCTTCCTTAGGTCCCCAAATGTTTTGGATGAGCAAATCTGGGTGTCCCGCCTGCAAGCCATTTTTTACTTTTGGGATTTCAGGCCTGCCACGCTTTCTACTGTGGGAAACCACCCGGAGGAGGGAGGGCCTTCTCTGTGGCTGCTCCGGCCCTCTGGAACGATCTCCCCGTGGAGATTCGGACCCTCGCCACCCTTCGGGCCTTCCGTATAGCCGTTAAGACCTGGTTGTCCCAGCAGGCCTGGGGTTGTTGAGTTCCACCCCTACTCGAATTGGTTGTGCCTGTTGTGTTTTTTAAATTGGTTGTATTTGTCTTACTTTTTTGTATTTGTTCCCCCCTCCTTGGCTTTTGTTCAGCCGCCCTGAGTCCCTTTGGGAATAGGGCGGCATACAAGTCGAATAAATCCAAATCCAAAATGGGAGGGGGGATTATACAGAGTTGGGTGATGTGTAGCCATAACAACATTCTTTCTCAGAAAGCCAAGGTCATCTTTGTCTCTGCACCTGGCCAGATGTGGAGGGGCAAGATCTTGGACTTTCAACTGGGAGGGGGAAACCTGGAAGCTTTCAGACTCGGCTTTTCCCAGAGGGGCCAACATGGCATCTCTAATAAAGTGGGACTTTGAGGAAACTCCGCCTCAAGAGTTTTATTTTGTTGGGGGTGTTTCTTGGAGCCCTGACACGGGTCCCAAACCTCAGAAGGTCTCTCGATGCCAGCAGAGGGCCTGGCCTTTGTAGCCCAGAACTGCTGGCTTCCTGAACAAGCTAAGTTGAATCAGGATTCATCCCAGTTAAAGTTTGAACACAGCCAGCCTCCTTGACCCGGAAGACAGCTTTATTCAAGCCTAGCCAAGGGCTTGCTCAAAACTTACGTTTGTTCCTTGCAAATAGGTGCAACAGACATACACACACACTTCCTTCCTTTCTTTCTTTAATTACATTTTATTAACTTTCTATTAATTACATTTCTTTCTGCTTAATAAAGATCGTGTTGTCCGTTCCTTTCAAACTGTTCCTGGAGTTTGGAGCCGAAAGATCAAACATGAAAAAGGAGGGAGTGCGGCTGCTTCACCTTAAATTATTCCTCTCCAAATCCCCCCTTTTTGGCAGAAATGAGCCATCAGCCTGTGGGGA